TTCAGTTTATGGTTGTCCGTATTTCTGCTCCTTCATTGAAAAAGGTTGCACTTTCATGTTACTTTGGTCATTATTCTCTAATGGTGGAGTCTGACAATCTTGAATATCTGGACTGCAATGTATTTGGAGTGCATAAACTTGTTATAAATGCCCCATATCTCAAGTATTTCAAGTGTCAAGGTCCTCGCGTGAGGGTAGAATTTGTTCAAGATGTGAGGAACATTGTGAATGCGACAGTAGCATTCAAGTATAGAAAAGAAGAATTTGAAAGTACCCTCGTGTTCTATCATCGGCCAAATTTGAAATCACTCGAAGCTTTTGAGCTTGTCAATGGTTTGCAATATGCGAAATCACTTCGATTCCAGTCGGGTATGAAGGTATGTCCAGTTAACCTTCTGCTAAAGCAGTTTTTTTTTTTTTGTTCGTTCCGATCGGAGTATCAATATTCTATCCTATCCATATCCTATTCTATAAAGATAGTCTCACTTTTGTTTATATATATTTATTCAAATGACGGGCTGATTTCCTTTTGGAAGGATTGTTATTTTGTCAATTTACTAATATGCCTACATTGTTACTAAAATGTTTTAGTCGAATTTGTAACTCTGATTAGGTAAAGCCATGCATTGAAAAACTAAAAAAAAAATAACAAGTTTCAAGAATGATTTAGTAATATGAGTCATTCACTTTGAGTAAATTATCTAGTATTAAAGGAGGCCATATGATGAAAGTGATTAGTAAAAATAATTGATTTAACTATATTAATTAACCCTTCTTAATCTGTGTGAAAATAAAAGTAGCCTTGTCTTTATGTGATGAAAGGATTAAGTTTTTTCTATTCTGTAAGCTGGTATAATTACATTACATATCATGTAAAAAAATATAATAACATTACAAATGGCACTAAAATCACAACTGAACCTGCCCCAGGCCCCCGGATCTGGATAGCCACACAAAAATTGTTGCCTCACCTAGGGGTTTAACATTGTAAATTTAAACTTATGGATACAAAATATGTCTTGAACTCAGCCTTATCCTGAGTATTCTGCCGGCTGAATAGAGCAATCCATAAAAGTTCAAGTTTGTGGTTTGGGATATTGTTTGATTCTTCATCTCGTTTGGTTGCAGATTCTCTATTATGCTGGAGAATTCTTGCCTACTTTCGAAAATTTGAGCAGTTTGGCGCTTGATGACTCTATTTACAGCTACCATTACAGTAGCTGGTGGTTGAACCTGATAGCAAGATTACTGGAAAACGCCCCTAATCTCGAAGCACTCGATATCGTTTCCTCAGTGAGTTTCTTTCACCTTTCGTCTGTGAGTCAATTAAGTTTGCTCTTCAATTTCTTCATCTTACAAGTAGTTCATAAACACTGTCTTCTGCAGTTCCTAATGTTTGCAAATGTACAGGTGTTCGACAGCAATTTCGGTGTAGAACAACTCGGGATATTTCTGCCAACGGCCTTTCCAGCACGGCCCATTCGACATCTCAAGGAGCTGAAAATAATCTTAGGGCATGATCAGGAATTTGGTTTCAAGCTAGCTGAATATTTTCTGGAGATTGGGAAATCTTTAAAGAAGATGACTATTCGTGGAAGTATAAAGGGTTGGGAGTCTAGTCCTGAAGTTTACAACCGGATATCATCATTCAAGAAATCTTCTGAACATTGCAGGATTGCGTTCGAACCTTAGAAGAATCAGAACGAAAACAGATACTATACATATAACTGAAATAAGGGAATCCAAAAGTTTAATGTCTGCATCTTTCGTGCTTCATTTATTTTTTATAGTGATAGATGCAACTGAAATAGTTCATTTGGGTGCCATAGCTGATGCTTTTCCAAAGTCAATTAATATCAGAACAATAGTCTCTAATTGTGCTTTGGGTTCAATTTCACTTCCAGAATTAACTTGAAATCATCTTAATACACAGGTGGGCATTCAAATTTTCGTCTTCACAAATTCTACTCAGGCAAAGTGTTTTTTTTTTCTTTTTTACCTTTTGGTAAATAAAAATGGCAAAAGTAGCCACAGACATAGCTAAAAGTTTCATTTGTCAATTCATTCTTCCTTTGAGATCAACTTTTTGACAGAGTTTTACATATTTAAGCTGAATAGTTTTCTTTGAGCGAATAAGCAGGATGAAACAAGGCAAAAATAATATGAAATAACATCAAGAAAGAAATCAATAAGATAAAAGATGCAATATATATACTTAAATACTATCTTTGGAATTACTCATATCACCAAGTATGTAAGCGAAGATAACCTCCGACCATGCTAAGGTAGAAACCATCTTCTTTCACCAGCCAAGGACATACCTTACCACACAAATGCTCATGTAATGATTTGTCAAAAACAACAATTTATTTATCTTTTCCAGCCCACCAAAAATGGCCAAAATATAATGTGCTTTGGATTAGGTTCTGGTGAAATGACCACTGTATTTCCTCACCTACAGCTAAGGAAAATCCTATTCACCATAGTTTGGTTCATCATGGTAACTTACGATTTTAGTTGAAATGTCTAGATATACACACACACACACACACAAGAGCAACCTTGAATGAAATTGAGTCATTTTGGCAACTTAAGAAGCGACAAATTTGGTGTGTGTATATATGTCTATGTCAGCTCATATGAGATTGTGAAAACAGCTGTGACATAAATGCAAAATAACTACTGAAGGAAGGTTATGAATACAACAATCCAAATGTTAGAAAACACTTTAAGATAACTTTCAGGGATACCAATTACCAAGGTAGAAACCATCTTCTTTCACCAACCAAGGACATTTCTTACCATACAAATGTTCTGGTAATGATTTGTCGAAAGAACAACCGATTTATCTTTTCCAACCCACCAACAATGGCAAAAAAAATAGGGTACGCTCCAAAATGTTATGGTGAAACATCCGATGAGTTTCTTGATTTACAGCTAAGGTATATGATAACCAATATCGTTATCTTTATATTGACAAAAAACAAATAATGAATAGGTTAGATGATACAGAAAGTGGGAATATAAGTGAGGAGTCCCGAGTTTGAGACTTCTCATTTACGCTAAAAAGAAAAAAGTGTTTAAAATAAAAGGGAGACCATTGCCAAAACAAATGTGATATTGGGAAATAATGAAATTGTGCCTGAATATAATATGGGTGTGAAGTACAATGCAAAGAATAAGAAAAGGGATAATGCTACTCATCATAGTTTGGTTCATCACGGTATCTTATTAAACTCATCTCAATCTTCAAGAAAATAGCATGAAATATACTATTCACATTTTAAAATTTTAAATTACTTGACCTCTACTCAAACTTAATTCAATAACAAATCATTTTTAGTTCGATTTAATTCTGTCTCAATTCCCTAAAAAAGGCAAATCAAATTCAAATGCAATTTCAAATCGGTTACAACAATCAACTATGATTATAAGTTCGAATTGTGAGCGCATTTGGCACGATTTGACTCATTTACATCTCTAATTTTTCACAATGCACACTAAATTCTGCACCTTATATGTTCCCTTAAGGTTCACTACAATACTAGGGATAATTTTAGAAGCTTCTCCCCAGGTTTTTGACAATTGCCCTGAATTCCCCCAAAGTTTCAAAACTTTTAGATGCCTTACCTAAAACTAATTAGCTTGTAACAAGTCAACTGATTCCAAAAAAATAACAAATTGGTTTTAGGCAAAAGAAGAAATGCGGTTCCACGAATGCCCCTCATATGTTACATTAGTTAGTTAATTTGGTATAAAAGCATAAATTACTAATTTAACAAAATCACAGGCGAGGGTTATAAGTGCAAATGTTAGCAAATGCAAGACATCAACTTCTCCAACTATTCGCAACTACTCTTTGCAACGACTATGTCTATGAACGCTTATACAAAAGCAACAAGAGTATAAAATATGTAATCGCAAGCCATGAAATTCAATTTATGCATGATTGGACCTATTATTTTCACTTGCAAGGCCATTATTTTTTTAAACAAAAGAATTTTATTGATGTAGCAATCAACTCGTACACCAAGGGGCAGGGCTATTTTTTGGCATGATCAAGAAAATAAATTAAGAAATATGCAACTAGTAACAACAAATCCAAACTTGAACATCAAAAAAGTCTTTCCTCTCCCCTTAAATTAAGATGCTCACAATCAGCGGATTGTTGATAGGAATTAGAGAGCAAGCTTGCTCACACCCTTAGCTACACAATCATTCAAGTTCAAGCTCTATTCTCTCCAAAAAAAAATGTCTATATGTCTATTTCTTTGCCTCTCAAGTCTTATTTAATTGAGCTTTTTATCAAGCCTATCAATCAGAAAAGTGCACCTAGAATTGTCGATCTTTTCTCATGGCAAGTTATATATTTTTTAAGTTCAAAATTGTGTTTATTTTTTTAATTTGGTTAACTAGTGATTTTAATTGATTAATTCCACATAATTGTCAATATTTTGTAAGCATTGGGCTTAAGTCTCTGACAAGTAAAATTTTTAAAACCTGGAAACAGGTCAATACAACTGTCAGAAACTACAGTGGCGGTTTTGAAATTGTCCCAAAATACCACGTATTGTTATGAAATAATGATAAGATGTGGATGTCCGTTGATATTCTCTAGATGTGGCTGTCCGTTGATATTCTCAAGAAGGATTACAAGATGAAGATGTCCGTTTGTATTCTCAAGATGATAGTCTCATGTATTTTCCCTAGATTCATTGGTACATTGGATGAACTCATTTATGGATGTACTTGATGTACTAAATTCATGTATTTGTGTTTAATAGGGTTCATTTACCTTTGATCTTGGATCACCTATTTATAGGGGTGAATCCTACTTCTTTTGTAACCTGGGGAAATCTTGAAACGTGGAAGTACTTTGATCAATAAATATAATAATATCTCTTCTTCTTATTCCACTATTCCAATCCCTACTTTTGGGAGTATCTTTTATTAGTTTCACAACACGTATTACATAGTTGATAGTAGTACGCTAAATAAAAGATTGAAATAAAGAAAAGTACTGATGGCTGATCCTGCAGAAAAGAATATGCTTGAAAGAATCCCAGATGGTGATAATATCGACAGGTTGAGTGAACTTCCGAACTGTGTTCTGCTTCACATCCTTTCGCGTTTCAAGACAAAAGATGCTGCAGCAACCTCAATTCTGTCCACTAGATGGAGAGATCTTTTCGTTTCTCTTCCTGATGTTCGTCTAATTTACCGTGTGGATAGTGATGCTTCTGGCCGTGATAAATTGTTCTCTGATTTTATAGATTTTGCCAATAGAGTGATTCGACAGCGAAATAAGGCTCCAATTAGAAAGCTTGTAGTCGATGTGATGCATTTTGTTAAAAGTTACCGCCTAGCTTTTGAGTCATTGTTGATATCTGCAGCTGCTGCACTTTCTTCTTGCAATGTCCAACGACTCATTATTTCGGTCCGAATGGATAAAACGACTGAGCGATTTTCTATACCTATTCCACCTGGAATTTTTTCATCTAAAACTCTGGTTTGTTTATCAGTAAACTTTGAGGTGGATTGGAATGTTCCCGATTTTGTTTGGTTGCCAAACCTCAAGCGTCTTTACTTAATTGAATTCAGATTGGTGGACGAAGATTCTATTCAGAGGCTTCTTCAAGGTTGCCCTTTGCTTGAACATCTGATGTTAAAGGTGCATCATTTCAGCTATTGTAGCAAGAGTGAAGAAACCATTGAAGTTGAAGTTCTTCATATCTCGAGCCCCTCGTTGAAAAGTCTGGTGCTCTGTTGGAATGCAAAAGTTGAATTAGAGTTCACTGTTGTTGTGAAGTCGGAAAATCTTGAGTCTTTGGTATGCTCCCTCCAGGGGCAGCACAAAGTTACCATAGATGCCCCAAATCTGAAGTCCTTGACTGTTGAGGGTCATGTACTTGATCTACACATAAAGCAAAGTCTGGTATCTATTGACAAGGCAGTAGTACGAGCTGAATTTCTGTCAAATGTGACAAATCACAGTGACTTATTTTTACGTAGTCAGCGTGCTTTTAAGTTTCTTAGTGGGTTGGTAAATGTGAAATCACTTTATTTATCACAGACGATTCTCCAGGTATGTTTCTTCTTTTCTTTCTTTTTTAGTTTGACTTCATTTCAGAGCTTTATCTTCCACCTATAATAGGAAAATTGGAACTTCGTTCTTACTTAATTCTACTTATATGTATGAAGGCTCTGTATTTTTCTCAAGGGGTCTTGCCAAAATTCAAATACTTGAACAAATTGAAGCTCAGTCATTTTCGTTGCAATGCATTTCCTCGCAATCCTTATTCTAAAGTGTTGTCAAGCTTGTTTGAAAGTTCCCTCAACCTTGAAGTGCTTATCATTGATGAAGTAAGTTGTGATGGACAATTTTGTTGCATAGTTAATTCAATCATATTTTGCTGCCTCTGATCTACTTGGAATGGACAGGTCCTCAAGGACAGTGAAGACGGGGAACTTGATTCTGTTTTTCAAGAGGCTCTCTCATTAGCTTTTGTCGGACAACTTAAGGAAATAGAAATCAGAAGTTTTGAGGGTTGGGAACATGAATTCAAGCTGATAGAGTATTTTTTGAAGAATGGAATATCTTTAAAGAAGATGACTCTCATTAGAGACAGTTGGAAGACTGAATCAGATGGTTGTCACAGGATATTGTCATCCAAGAAGTGTGCGGAGGATTGCCAGATTCTGTTCATAACGAAACGGGATGCACTGAAACTCTTCCTGTAATGATGCTGTCGTTTATATTCTTCCTGTTCTTTTCTTTTTTCCCCCTTATGACCAGTGTTTTTTTATTTTTGTTGGTCAAGACCCAACTAAAACTTACAATAATTTCATGCGTATGTAAAAATAGTTTTAGAACTTGTTTGTTAAGTTCATCTTGTGGCATTCTTGATGCTGTTGGTGCCATGATGATCACATCATTCAGTTTTAGAGCTAGAAATTTATGGCTTGATAACTAACATCTTGTAGCAAAATATTTATTGCTTAATAGAACCATACTTTGAAAGTTAGTGTTAAAGTGCCAAAGAAAAGAATAATAGCTTGGGAAGGACCTTCACTTTGGAAGTATTGCTAAATCAGTCTGTTGCTCTTTTTTCTCGCAATTTCATTGCCCATGCTAGCAAAATGATACAAAAAATGCTCATGCTTCATAATGTTAAGTTATTATGAGATTTTAGCCTTTTTTACCATAGAGTTCACTGCTGTTTGCAGTACTTCCAAATCTCTCTCTCTCTCTCTGTACCTTTCACAAGACAATGCTGTGAAATCATTGCAATCCTTTCTACCAATTAGTCAACTTGCTGGTTAAGTGAACTCCTTTTAAGAGGAAGGGCTCAGCCCATGCAGAAAGGTCTGGTTCAGGACTGCATGAAACTGCTGGAGCATATTGAGGAGGATTAGATATGTTCTTACAGTTGTGAAGGTGAAATGATTACAGATATTGTACTCTGCAAGAAGATTTTGAGGTGGTAATACTGTTATATTACCAGTTATTTAAAGCTAACCTAAGATTGAAGTAGCAATCTGGAGACACATAATCCAAAATGGCAATGAGTCTTTGATGAAGTATAAATGTAAGATTCAAATCTTAGGAACTTGTAGATTTCAGTTCTAGAGTATACTTCGCTGAGGATTGTATCATTATGTGAAGATTGTGGCATATTCTTATCTTTGGCAAAAAAAAAAAAAAAAGAAGGATAAAGTACTCAATCGAGCCTAGGTCTTATTGCATATATTGTAAATGAACAAACAAGGATTATCAACTGTGCTTATTGTTGAAGTAGATGATAAGAATCCAGATTGGCCAAAGATTTTAGTGTTGAAAATTGTTGATAGGGTTGAAAGATATAATAAGATTGAACTCGGTAAGACCATGATCTATTTAGTTCGTCAACTAATCCGGTAAATCTTTAATAGTCTTTTGTAATCTAAAAACTTCAAGCTTAGTTAGTTTTTCAACTAATTTAGTAAAACTTGAATAGTCTTTTTTGGAAAATATTAAACTAATCTTGATCTTGGCAAGAGAAAATAGCATGTAATTACTATTTATATTTAAAAATTTTAAATTACTTGAGCTCTACTCAAATTTAATTCGATGATAACAATCGCTTGAGCTCGGTTCATTGAAAAAAGAAAATCAAACTTGAACATAATTTCAAATTTGTTGCAACAATTAAACATATGATTAAAACTTTTTGGTGTAAGTTAAGAGATCAAATTCCATGACTTGCATTCTTGTCTAGGATTTCTTGAAAATTTCACCCACATATGCATAAGCATCCATCGGGTTCGATGGCAGTTCAACTCCCTCCAAGTTCCCTTTGACCCTTTCGTATCCATCCCTTCCTCCTAGTATAAAGTGTTGCCAATCCTCTTCGATTCCTCTTTTAGGTATAGGTTAAAGGATCAAATTTCTTGATTTAAATTCTTGTCCAGAATTTCTTGAAAATTTCACTAGCAGGTGCATAGGTATTCATCTGGTTCAGTACCAGTTTAATCTCCTCCAAGTTCCCTTTTGACCCCTTTGGATCCATCTATCCCTTAGCATAAAGTATTGCTAACTCCTTCTGGGTTTCCTTTTAACGCTTTTTTCTACTGTAAAGTAAAAGTTGGGAATCACAAAATGTGGGGCCGCTTGGTTAGCGGGTATGGGGAATCACAAAATGGAATAAATCTCTTACCACTTGCTTGGGTTATATCTATTGGAATGTAATTTTTGGAATCATTCCCAAAATATTGGACTTCTCCCATTCCTGACCAAGTTGGGAGGTTTTGTGAAACCCCACGTTTGATTCCAAAGCTATTTTTTTTTTTTTTTTTTGTTTCATCTCACTCATTGCTTCACCATCTCTCTTCTATTTTCATCACATTTTCCTATTTGCTTCCTTCCCCATATCAGACCAGCCTTTCCCTTTCCTCTATCCCACTTATTCCAATCTTCTAATTTCTCTCCTACCGGTGTAGCAGGCCTCTTTTTTCCAATCTTCCATAGCTGACGACGGCTCTGTGCTGCAAATGTGAGAGTAATTTTTGTTGGCCAAAGAATCTCATCTTGATTGGTTGTCGACAGCTCTGTGCTGCAAAAACCCACAGCTGACGACGGCTCTGTGCTCTGTGCTGCAAATCTGAGTCTTTTTTGGGGGTTGTATGGCTGCAAATTTAGGGGTGGCAATTCGGGTCCAATCAGGTTGGCGGGTCGGGTCAAAAAATCTGTTGACCCGAATCCGACCCGTCAACCCGTGACGGGTCAGTATATCTGACACGAACCCGAAAATTTTGGGTTGGCGGGTCGATCCGAAATGACCTGAAAATTAATTTTAATTTATTAATTTATCACTGTAAATTCTAATAAAATCAATTTCTCACAAAATTAATTACATCATCAAGTAATAAAAATTTAAATAAATAATTTCAAATCAAATCCAAAATAAATTAAACACCGTAAAAGTGTTTTATCCCAAACCAAATATAAAATAAATTAAAACGAATTATATTATTTGTCCAAATATAATAATTTTAACTTCATACAAGGTAAATAAATTCATTTAGGATTAAGTAATTAATACCTTTGAAAAAAAAGAATGATTTAGTTTAGTTAGATAAAATAATTTTTATGTTTATTAAATTATTTTTAATTTGTAAACGGGTCATATCGGGTCACTACGGGTTGATCCGAAATCGACCTATTTTCTTTTCGGGTTCATCGGGTTCGACCCGATTCTGACCCGAACCCCCAAAACTTCAATTCAAACCCATTAATTTCGTTTTAGGTTCGTGTCGTGTTTTCGGGTCGTGTAAAAAATTGCCACCCCTAGCTGTAATGGAGGAGGAGTTAAAGTGGTGGACTATGGCTGCAAATCTTTTTGGTGGAGTATGGCTGCAATCTGATGACGACTCTCATCTTTTTTGGGGGTTGAATGGCTGCAAATCTGAGTCTTTCTTTCTTTCTTTTTTTTAAAGTTGTTTAGAAACTAGATCTAATGATCTTCAAGTTACAAGTGGAGTTTACGAAAATAGATTTTGTGATCTTGAAGTCCAAGAAAAATACCGGTTGATCCATTAATGGTCACTATGAAGTTCTACAATTTGGTTAAGAAGGACGTTCTGCAATTGGATTAAGAACAAAAAGGAGAGAACAAAAAGAAATTTAAAAATGATAAAATATTCAAATTTTAATGTAATATCCATTCCTGACAAATATCTACCAAGCGCTTGTTACTGTATTGATACCTTGACCACAACCCAATCAAAACCCATACTAATTTTTTTTGTAAATGATTCCAATTACAATTTCGATTCCTAAACATGAATCAAGCGGCCCCTAAATGTATACATCCGTTTAGCTCGACAGCGGTTTAATCAACTCCGTTTTCCTCTTTGAATCCACCTTTAAGAGTATATATAAAATAGAAACTATCGTGTGCTCGTGCCATGGGCGGGGGAAGATGTGCACCCTGAGCTTCACCACATGCTACATCCGCCTAGTACGCTAAATAGTACTCTGCTCCCTTTCCCAAGACGAGCCCTTAGAACTCCCTTCTACAGTAGGTGCGCTTAAAACTTCTCTTGATTGGGGAAATCAGAAATGTTGGGGTTTGCAGCAAGCAAGGCTCTTGGAGCAAGAGCATTTCTCATCTTCGAGGAGAAGAGTATCTCATCTTCGAGTAGAAGAGTATAAGATGGAATTTCATCAGCGGCTTAACCGCAAAATACCGACCTAAAAATGCAGGTTCTTGTTCGTCATTGATGGTTTTAGTCATCAGAAAACCAGGTTCTTTGTTGAAGTTTCTTCTCATGCTTTCTTTATTTGGGAATGCTTCGTTAGCATGTTTTTAGAAGTTCATTATGTGATTATCCATGGATTACGTTCGATGCCCATAGTTGTCTGCCAAAAAGCAGAAATCCCTTTTACATTTAGGCTTGTTGATTTCACAGTATCTCGAGACCTGCTATTTATGTACTGAAAGATTGAAATAAAGAAAAGTACTGATGGCTGATCCTCCAGAAAAGAAGATGCTTAAAAGAATCCCAGATGGTGATAATATGGACAGGTTGAGTGCACTTCCGAACTGTGTTCTGCTTCGCATCCTTTCGCGTTTCAAGACAAAAGATGCTGCAGCAACCTCAGTTCTGTCCACTAGATGGAGAGATCTTTTTGTTTCTCTTCCTGATGTTGATCTAAGTTTCCGTGTGGATGGTGATGCTTCTGACCGTGATAGGATGTTCTCTGATTTTACAGATTTTGCCAATAGAGTGGTTCGACAGCGGAATAAGGCTTCAATTGGAACGATTGTAGTCGATGTGATGCATTTTGTTAAAAGTTACCGCCTGGCTTTTGAGTCATTGTTGATATCTGCCGCTGCTGCACTTTCTTCTTGCAATGTCCAACAACTCCTTATTTCGGTTCGAATGGATAAAACAACTGAGCGATTCTCTATACCTATTCCACCTGGAATTTTTTCATCTAAAACTCTGGTTTCTTTAACAGTGGACATTGAGGTGGATTGGAATGCCCCTGATTTTGTTTGGTTGCCAAACCTCAAGTATCTTTACTTATTTGAATTCAGATTGGTAGATGAAGATTCTATTCAGAGGCTACTTCAAGGTTGCCCTTTGCTTGAACAACTGATGTTATTTGTGCAACCTTTCAGCTATGAGAGTGAGAGTGAAGAAGGCATTGAAGTTGAAGTTCTTCATATCTCGAGTCCCTCATTGAAGAGCCTGGTGCTCTCTTGGAATGCAAAAGTTGAATTAGAGTTCACTGTTGTTGTGCAGTCAGAAAATCTTGAGTCTTTGTTATGCTCCCTCCAGGGGCAGCACAAAGTTACCATAGATGCCCCAAATCTGAAGTCCCTGACTGTTGAGGGTCATGTACTTGAAGTACACATAAATCAAAGTCTAGTATCTATTGACAAGGCAGTAGTACATGCCGAATTTCTGCATAATGTGACAAATGGCAGCGACTTATTTTCACGTGTTCAGCATGCTTTTAAGTTTATTAGTGGGTTGCAAAATGTGAAATCACTGAATTTGTCAGAGAACATTCTGAAGGTATGTTTTTCTTTTCTGTCTTCTTTAATTTCGATTGACTTCTGAGCTTCTTCTTCAAATTTTAATAGAAGAATTGGAACTTTGTTCTTACATAATTCTTCTTCTTATATGCATGAAGGCTCTCTATTTCTCTCAACCAGCATTTATGTGATTGGGAACGACCTCCGAGGGGTGGAGGAGTTTGAGTTTGTTCTGCCAGAGGCTATTTAAATAGGCTTCTTTGAACATCATAGGAAGACAGATATCCTGATCTTTATAAAGGATGAATAGGAACTTAGGTTATGAGTTTGTTCTGCCAGAGGCTATTTAAATAGGCTTCTTTGAACATCATAGGAAGACAGATATCATGATCTTTATAAAGGATGAATAGGAACTTAGGTTAGTTGATTTTGTTGGAAAAATTGAAAATATTTGATCAAAGAAGACTTTTGGTGGAGATATAGTGCTTTTCTTAGTATTCATTAGAATTGTTACCATGGGATTTTGTCATTCAACAAAACCTGAAGTCCCTTACTGTTGAGGGTCATGTACTTGAAGTACACATAAATCAAAATCTAGTATCTATTGACGAGGCAGTAGTACGAGCTGAATTTCTGTCTAATGTGACAAATCACAGTGACTTATTTTTACGTAGTCAGCGTGCTTTTAAGTTTCTTAGTGGGTTGGTAAATGTGAAATCACTTTATTTATCGGAGACGATTCTCCAGGTATGTTTCTTCTTTTCTTTCTTTTTTAGTTTGGCTTCATTTCAGAGCTTTATCTTCCACCTATAATAGGAAAATTGGAACTTCGTTCTTACTTAATTCTACTTATATGCATGAAGGCTCTGTATTGTTCTCAACGGGTCTTGCCAAAATTCAAAGACTTGAACAAATTGAAGCTCAGTCATTTTCGTTGCCATGCATTTCCTCGCAATCCTTATTCTAAAGTGTTGTCAAGCTTATTTGAAAGTTCCCCCAACCTTGAAGTGCTTATCATTGATGAAGTAAGTTGTGATGGACAATTTTGTTGCATAGTTAATTCAATCATATTTTGCTGCCTCTGATCTACTTGGAATGGACAGGTCCTCAAGGACAGTGAAGACGAGGAACTTGATTCTGTTTTTCAAGAGGTTCTCTCATTAGCTTTTGTTGGACAACTTAAGGAAATAGAAATCAGAAGTTTTGAGGGGGAGGAACATGAATTCAAGCTGATAGAGTACTTTTTGAAGAATGGAAAATCTTTAAAGAAGATGGGTCTCATTAGAGACAGTTGGAAGACTGAATCAGATGGTTGTCACAGGATATTGTCATCCAAGAAGTGTGCGGAGGATTGCCAGATTCTGTTCATAACGAAATGGGATTTGCTGCAGAGCTTATTTCTTCAAAGGCACTGAAACTCTTCCTGTAATGATACACTGTCGTTTATATATTCTTCTTGTTCTTTTCTTTTTTCCCCCTTATGACCAGTGTTTTTTGATTTTTGTTGGTCAAGACCAGACTAAAACTTCAATAATTTCATGCGCATGTAAAAATAGTTTAGAACTTGTTTATTAAGTTCATCTTGTGGCATTCTTGATGCTGCTGGTGCCATGATGATCACATCATTTAGTTTCAGAGCTAGAAATTTATGGCTTCATAACTAACATCTTGTAGCAAAATATTTATTGCTTAATAGAACTATACTTTGAAAGTTAGTGTTAAAGTGCCAAAGAGAAGAATAATAGCTGGGGAAATATAAGGTCTTAAGTAGAACCTTCACTTTGGAGGTATTGCTAAACCAGTCTGCTGCTCTTTTTTCTCTCAATTTCATTGCCCATGCTAGCAAAATGATACAAAAAATGCTCATACTTCATAACGTTAAGTTATTATGAGATTTTAGCCTTTTTTATCATAGAGTTCACTGCAGTTTGCAGTACTTCCAAATCTCTCTCTCTCTCTCTCTCTCTCTCTACCTTTCACAAGACAATGCTGTGAATGCTATGAAATCATTGCAATCCTTTCTACCAATTAGTCAACTTGCTGGTTAAGTGAACTCCTTTTAAGATTGATGCAAGGCTCAGCCCATGCAGAAAGGTCTGGTTCAGGACTGTATGAAACTGCTGGAGCATATTGAGGAGGATTAGATATGTTCTTACTGTTGTGAAGGTGAAATGATTACAGATATTGTACTCTGCAAGAAGATTTTGAGGTATTAATACTGTCATATTACTAGTTATTCAAATCTGACCTAAACATTGAAGTAGCAATCTGGAGACACATAATCCAAAAATGGCAATGAGTGTTTGATGAAGTATAAATGTAAGATTCAAATCTTAGGAACTTGTAGATTTCAGTTTTAGAGTATACTTCGCGAAGGATTGTATCATTATATGAAGATTGTGGCATATTCTTATCTTTGGCAACAAAAAAAAAAAAGGATTAAAGTACTCAATCGAGCCTAGGTCTTATTGCATATATTGTAAATGAACAAACAAGGATTATCAACTGTGCTTATTGTAAAAGTGGATGATGAGAATCCAGATTGGTCAAAGATTTGAGTGTTGAAAAATCGATAGGGTTGAAAGATATAATAAAGTTGAACTTGGTAAGATCACGATCTATTTAGTTCGTCAACTAATCCAGTAAATCTTTAATAGTCTTTTGTAATCTAAAAACTTTAAGCTTAGTTAGTTTTTCAACTAATTAAATAAAACTTGAATAGTCTTTTTTTTTTATATAAAATATTAAACTAATCTTGATCTTGGTTGGAGAGAATAGCATGTAATTTACTATTTATATTTAAAACGTTTAAATTACTTGAGCTCTACTCAAATTTGGTTCGATGATAACAATCGTTTGAACTTAGTTCATTTCAATTCAGTTCATTGAATAAAGAAAATCAAACTGGAACATAATTTCAAATTTGTTGCAACAATTAAACATGATTAAAGTTTGAATTGTGAACAATTGCCATGATTCGACTCATTCTTCACAGTGCACTAAATTCTGCACTTTATATGCACCCTTGAAACCAACTACTCCTAAAGTAGTTGGGCACCATGGAGAACTTTTGGGTGCAAGCCAATAAATCAAATTTCTTGGCTTGTATTTTTGTCTAAAATTTTTTGAAAATTTCACCCGTAGGTGCATAAGCACTCATCTAGTTTGGTAGTAGTTCAACTCCCTCCAAGTTTACCTTTAACCCTTTTGGATCCATCCCTTTTCCCTAGTGTAAAGTGCTGCCAATCCCCTTCAAGTTTCTCTTTTGGATATAAGTCAAGGAATCAAATTCCTTAACTTGCATTCTTGTCCAAAAATTCTTGAAAATTTCACCAGTAGGTGCATAGGCACCCATCTAGTTCGATGTCATTTTAATCCCTTCCAAGTTTTCTTTTGACCCCTTTGGGTCCACCTGTCCCTCGATGTAAAGTACTGCTGGGTTCCCTTTGACTCATTTTACTAATGTAGAGTAGGAGTAAATATATACATCCATTTAGCTTGATGACAGTTCAATCACCTCCATTTTTTTTTTTTCCTTTAGATCCACCCTTAAGAGCACGTGTAAAATAGAAACTATCGTGTCATGGCAGGAGAAGGTATGCACCCTCGAGCTTTACCACATGCTACATGTGCCTAGTAGACCAAGAACATCCACAATGATTTACTCTTTAAGTGTAATCCACATGTCACGTCAACATTCTACTTTTTTCTCTTTTATTACACTTCCACTCACAATGGATTACACTCCACAAGGTGTAATAGCAGGAGTCTACAATTAAATCAAACATTTATTTTAATAATGCATAACTCATATCCCATAAATAAATAAAGTAATTTTTAAAAATAATTTTGTTATTTTTGAAAAATAAAGTATTAACTTTCATTAAATTTTTTACCTTTTGAATTTTTTATTTTCTAAAAATAATATTATTAATTTCTAAGTTTGAACAATATATCTTTTTCTATCTCTCAAAATTAATATATTGTTATTTTTTGAAAAATAATTATGCAGAACATTAAAGAAATATGTGATACCTCAAATGCGAAGATATCATAATAATCCATACTTAATTAACAATTCTTTATGTAATTAGTTGAACTCCATAACATAACTAGTTTTGTACCTGTTCGTTAAACGGGAATCGTCTAAAAATAATAAACTATTTAGTTAATTTTATAAAAATATTGATATAAAATACAAATTTAATTTAAAAGTGCAGTAAATAGTATCAAATAATATTTTACTTTTCAAAAACTTGTTTTTGTTTTTCTTCTATTTGAACATTCTCCTCGATTTGTCCGCGCTAATCAGCATTTATTGATTTTTCATTATCACTGCATGATAGCAAAGCAGGATAACTAAGTATAAAACAATAAATGATTTATCGCATTCAAGGTTGTGTATAACAATACGTAAAGATTATAATTTAAAAAAGTAAAATAGTATATTAAATCTACCTTCTCATGCAAATCTTTTTATGAGAATTCCCTTCCTCTGTGGTTTTTGTTGAACCCTCTGATGAATGATTCATATGAAGTGCATTGAAATGTTGTTGATTAGAATCATCTGTTATACTAATTGGGATCTGGGAAGAAAATACTTCAGGTTGGTATTGGTTGTCGGTTCCACCAATTTGATAATGATTTATCAAAATTAAAGGCAAAAATATTATGTGAGATATAATATGTGAAATATAAGAGAAATTTATTGCACATTACCTGTGAAAAGCATGAAATGCGTTTCTCTCCCGAAATCACGGTGGAGCCATCTAGTCACTGTAAATCTATTACTACCTTGTTCCAAATTGTAATTGTTCAACTTGATTTGGAACACAAAAGATTTTCACGTGATCTTATTTATAATTGATGACACGATTTCATTGCTAAATCCTTACTAAAAATGAAATGCATAATAAAATTTTTTTTGTTAGAATATTCAATGACTGAGATAAGTGTCTGATTGTCTACTATTATTAAAAATATTTTAAAAAATTAGATATAAGTTTACCTTGTTAAATTCTTCAAGACAAAAGAAAGTTTGTATTCTATTATTCTTTCAGCCTCTTGATCAAATATAACAAACCAAGCACTACAGGTTGCATCACTTGCCAAGACTTTTAACATATACATGTATAAATACACATATTCTAAAAGTTATGTTTATGTAGATATTGTAGCAATTAAAATGATAAAAAATTAATACCTACGACATACCTTAATTTGGGATACTCCACATTTTGATTGCAAGTATTGCACACAAAATTAGATCCTTCTAATGTCACTTTTCTCTGACATTTTGGACATGCTTTGTAGTACAGTTGAGTTGACTGTTGAAATCAACTTTCAAAATCGTCACTTTGGAAGTGTAAACCAATTCCTAGATAAATGACCAATTTAAGCAGTCAATTTAAATAATTAATATTTTTAATTGTGAAAACTAATGTGCTATAATTGTAACTTGCAACTTTAATTGTACCTCTGTTTGAACACCGGTCATTATCTGATATATTTCTGATAATAATTTTTTATTCTTAAACATTAGTTGCTGTATAGCTTCTCGCGTTTTGGAGGATGTAAAACCTCAATAGTTTGAGGAGCAGTGCTATCAATGCTAATAACAATCTTATCTTAATTACTTATATACAATATATATGAAAAAATTAAACAAACATTTAATAAAGATATATAGCTTTACCAATTCAAATAATCTGCAAATTCGGAAATATTTAGATTCATATATATTCGTGTGGCAATTGTTGATGACAGATAGTATGAACCTGAGTAACAATTTATCGTGAGATCCATTAAGAATGCTAATGAAAAGAAATAACAATATGTTTATTATGAGAAATTCGCTGATGTTTATGTCATTACCTCTGAATTGTTTAACTGTCACTGAAGAGATCACCAACACTAATGGTTGATCAGACACCAAAATAGTCTCATCATCGAACTGATTCGATGTTGTTCCCCATAATGTGACATTAATGCTTTCACCACTTCAATATAAAGCACTCAAAATTAATACTTGAATAGAAATTACTCAAAATTAATTGTTCAAATAATAATATGAGCTGATCTTCATATTATAACTAATTTATTTAGCAGACTAAATTAAAAAAAAATGCAGCAACTACCTTTTATTAGTAATTGCAATATCTCGTTTTTTTACAGTTCCATTACTCTTCGAAACTTCATAAATTGGTCTCACTTTAGAAAGTCTTCCCACCACATCTATATTACACACAAATGAATAAGTATAACACATATAGTTATCTAGGAATCACTATTTTCAAATGAATAAAATTAAAAATAGTATTTATAAAAGTAGTATTTACCCTATCAACTTATTACGTCATACCTGATAAGAATGTAAAAGTTTGACGTCGTGAAGAGAGGTCATTGAAATCGATGAATTCAAATTTGTGAAATTTTATTGAACTCATTCGACCATCAAGCTTTTTCACTAGAGTTGTATAAGTGAAATAAATATTATGCTTATTGTGCACAACATTCCAAGATTGTTTTCTTTGTGTCACTCTAAATTTCTCCAAAATATAGACATTTCCCTCAAGTAGTTGTGGTCGAAACCTTTGTACCAAATTTTTTGGTACAATAGCTACCATATGATTATTGTGACGCCCCCACTTCTCCCTAAGGCGCACCAAAGGGTATCCGCGGAACGCCTGCCTAGCTCTCGCTAGGACTCAAGCAATAACGTTCAACCTTAAAGCGATACTAGATACCAAAATCAAATTAATACGAATACATATAGTGCGGAAACGTTCATGCTTAACAATATCCATCCATTACCCAACCTGTCAGCATATGGCTCTGATGCCAACTGTGACAGTTTTCATGGTCACATCACAAGGTACCTATCCGCTTGCCACCCGCACGTCGTGCGTTCATAATACAACTTAAATTTCAAAATATACATCACAGATATCCGAATGATACATTAAACTTCCAAAGTACAATCATAAAGGGGTCAAGCCAAAATACACCTGAAACCCTAAAACAAAATATATCCAAAAGGAGATTTCTCCGCGTTAACTCCATTTCCAGTCCTGTTAAGGAAAACAAGTCTACAGGGTGAGCAAAACGCTCGTGAGGCCAAGGACACACATGCAAGCACATTGTTCAAATAGCAATCTCAACTTTATCAAATAAAACCGTGATATTTCAATAAAGTACCATTTGAGCAGGAAAAATAATCAGAAACAATTCAAGGATATAGTAGCTCTCAGGAGCTAAGTTCCACTCGCTCTGCCGATGTCATTCGTATACTTTCCCGCATTGACCCTCCTGTCAACCGGGTCGGTATTTCCATTTCCGTAGATCACCACTTACTTCCCTCCGTCCACCGTACACCCCAAGGGCCCACAAGTCTATTATAAGGCGATACTTTACGAGTATGCCAAGCAGGACCTCTTATTAGGTCGAGCTTATAATCTCATGGGTCGCCCAAGTTCCCGACCAAGCCCATTGCCGGCTCGAGTTCAAGGTCGGCCTATGAGTTTGGGCGTCCCCCATTCATTTGGAAGTCGAGGAGGTTCACTCCAACGACATATGTAACCATTACATAGCATTGCATTTCATTCATTCATTCAATACATTTCATTCAATACATTTCATTCATTCATTCAATACATTTCATTCATTCATTGGAAATCAGAACGGATGCGATAAAGTACACACCCGCCCTTATTTTTAAAATCTCTAATAATTACCACAATTAAGCAAGTATCAAAGATTCACACACTTGACACTCACCGAGCAATTTAATAAAGATTATTCGCTGGAGTTCAAGTGTCCATGGTGAAATCCTCTTGAAGGTCTCCTTGTGTGCCTGGCAGTTAATGGTGGATAATTACTCAAGTATCTCAATTATCAAGTAAGATTGTACATTAGTACGATCTAAGGAATATTTCACAAAAATGAACCTCAATTACTCGTAAATCGAGGTTCAACTTGCGTTTTATGAAGTATAATATTAGTTGAGTTTTTATCATGAAAATCGTGGGCAAAACGTTTAGATAATATCAAAAGTGTAAAGAGTTCTTGAAAACTCTATTTCTTTGAAATTGGAAAATTTTCAGCTTTATCATGAATCTTTGAAAAATCGTAACTCACTCGGTACAAGTCGAAAATTGGAAAACTTTATACCGTTGGAAACCTCTTAGAAAGTACTATAAGTTCCTAGAAGACACTTTTCCATGAATCGAAGTGGAAAGTGCTCAAAATGAGCTTGAAGGTGCAGGGTTGGTTCACAAGGCAGAATGAGGTTGGATTTTGGCCAACTTTGACAATTCGGCACGATTCGCACGTTGCAAACCGGCCTCTGAATTTTGCATCTCAATTAGTGTTGCAAGTGAAGTTTATAACAAAACAAGCGGATCAAGAATCGGAGTTTCGAGCACCGAGATACGGTAGCCCGAAGTTGAGCAAATTCAAGACTGGATGAGAATTTTCCAGATTTGAACCTCTAACTTTAGTAATTCAATTGGGTATCGAAACGAACTTGAATCGGCACCAAAATTGGTAGTATTTCAATACTATGTGGAAGGTATCTCTCTATCGAATTTTGGGGAAAGATACCTTCGGCAAGGTCGTTAATTAGCCAACCAAAGTTCAAGAAAAATCCTAAGGCAATCTGCCTTTGACTTTCATTTTCCAAATTTCCAATCGTTTAACCAAGAAAGTTATCCAACCATGGTTCATTTGTGAAATAAGGGTCTAAGATACATCCATGATACCTTTGGTAAGTGTTTAATATCAAAAACATCAACTAACAAGTTCACTCCAAGATTTTGTTCCAAACCAGTCCAAAGATTAGGGTTTTCCAAAACAGAGCAGTCCACTTGTTTCAGTCACAACTCAGTCAATATAGATCGAAATCGAGCATGGCTTACGCCGTTGGAAAATACATTCATAGAGTTAAAATATCACAGAAGAAATCGTTTCCAAATTCGGCACCCATCTGATTCAAATTCGGGCATCAAGTTGCTGCCTGAACACTTCATTCCAGATGAACAGAGTAACAGGACAGCGAACGTAAAACATTTGGTTCGGCTCGCTCACAAAGAATCAGAACGTGCATTATATACCAAATTAAAGCTAGGAATGTCTAGTTTCAAACGCCACCGACGGCACATGATTTCGACATCCGAGGACAGAGTTATAGCCAAAATACTACTGCTGGTCAGAGCATACGCGAATCAGTTTTCCAGATTTGCTGGTTTCGAACAAAAATTCATTTGCCCATTCAAACCTCATTATTTTTCAATGAAATTTTTCACACATCTAATACATCCTACAAACATCCAATTCAAGCAATTAAACCATTAAAAATTGGCCTGGAAATGGCCGAACATGGCAGGGGCAAAATCGGAAATTTTAGCTTCTTACACCCAATGAAGTTCCTACTAATTACCCACCACTAATGCATCATTATAATCACTAAACCAACAATATAATCACCATTACTTATCACATCAGCAACAACAACCCAAGTGTGGGAATTCCAAGAGCCCACAATCACATTTTTACACCATAATCAAGTAACTAAGTGCATGCATGAGCTTAATCTTGCCATATAATCTCCAAAAGATAAGAATCCAAGGGTTGATCATTACCTACTCCTTTGGTTTGCAAGGTCAGAATTTCCGGCCCTCTTGAAGCTCCAAGAAACCGTGAAAGCTCCCCTCCTCCTTAGCTAGATATAATCTCCAAGAGGTTTGCTAAGTGGTCTCCAAGTTTGGTGTGATTTGGAGGTGATTTGGGGTGGTTTTGGGGAAGATTAGTGTGCAGAATTTTTTTGAACAAGGAGTTAGAGAGAGAGGGTGTCTTGGCCGGCCATGAGGAGAGAGAAGAGAGAGTGTGTTTGATCCAAGTTAGCTTCCAAGAGAAGGTGCAATGTGTGGTGCAAAATCACCCAAAAGTCAACTCTCATTAGGGGCCGTTTGGTACGATTACGGCTCGATTTTTTTCGCGCGTTTGGTTCACTAGTGCACTAAACCTCCAAGGCATATATATTCATGTAAATATTATTCACTCTTAATTGTCCCGAAATAAGGGTCTAAAGTCCCTCAAATGAAGTCGCGCGTGTGAAAACGCGTACCGTCAATTTTACCGCTATAACGCGAAACTTTCGAAAAATTCTTATAACGATTGCACTACTAACTATCACTTGAATATTTATTCATAAGATTACCTATTTTAGGACCATAGTACAAGTCTCCAATATTCCAAGCTTATTGTGCTACTACGCGGATAAAATCTCCAAGTACTATTCACTATTTTTACGAAACGCGCTCTAGGAAATTAATTTTCGAAACGAATCATTTTAAAAATATAACGAAGTTATATTACCATGTATTTAGGTCTAATAAGACTAGAAAATATTCCTTGGAAATAAAATCCAATTAAATAATTTATTAAGCCATAAATTAGGTTTAAATAAAATAATAGTTTTTACGAGTCCTCACATGAGTCGAGTATTAACGCCTCAAATCTCCAATAAATTTGTATCCATGCGTCTTTTGGAAAACTATCCACGCGTGAGTAGTATATGCTCACTTAGAACTTATTCACCTTTAATTCTCGATTAACTTTTCTTAATCTGCTATTGTCCGTTCTTAATTTCCCCAGGATAATCATACTCTCGAATATAATATCACCTCGAAACACTCGTGTTCACTATCTCGCACTTAAACAATCCTTCCGAAAATTGAAATTGTTAACGGGACATTTTAAAAACACAATGAAGACATTATTCCATACGAATGGATTTAAAATGGTCGTAATAAATTATTTGGGGAAAACAGGTGGATAAATACTTAATGAAACCATTAATATTCGAAAAAAAATAAGAAATTTTTCGGGTCTTCACAATTATCCTAAAATAATTCAGACATCACAGATCAGGAAAAACTTGTCATGAAATAAACAAATTTAACTCAAATCAGTCATAGATGGATGAATGATGGTACTTAACTCAAATCAGTCACTGATCAAGAGTGAAAACCCAAAATCGATGTTTTAATGTGCCAACTGCATGCACTGAGAATACCTAACCATGAATTTGATGTTTGAAATCAATATATTAGAGACTATATGTAGTATAGGCATAATAAATAAGAATTGATAAGGATATAAAGAAATATTAATAAGAATATTAAAAGTAAGTTTATCTTGATATAAGTTGCTTAAAGTACGTAACTTTGGTTAGAAATTAAGAATCCTATAATATTAAGAATTCTTATAAGAAATAAAACCACAATCGTCCAAATAACTTTGGGTAAAAAATGAGACAATCTAGGTCTAGCGCCTCAGAATTTCCTCTAGCAAACTTCAGCCATAGGGGCCACAAACTCAAATGACAGCATCCTTTTAGATGTCTCATTTGCTCGTAAATGCATTTCAAATAGGAATTTATATTTGATTGTACGGGTTTATAGGAATTTACAAACCCGTGCTCAAATAGGAATTTATATTTGACCGTACGGGTCAAATACATATAGTTAATTGGATTCAATTAACTTTTTCTTTTCCATAAATTTCGTGCTATGCGCTATGTCTTGATAACGCATTTAATAATAAAATTTATTATTATGTCTTTTTTATTTATATTGCATTACTTTTCAGTTCCTTTTTTAGGTAGGGAATAAGAATCATATAATATTAAGAATTCTTATAGGAAATAAGAATTGATATACATCCAAACAAAAAAGGAGTAAGGCACGTAGGAAACCACTTGCTGTCTCATTAAACCACGTAGGAAAAAGAAAACATGAAAGGATAAGGATGAGAATACGACTTTATTATATAGGGCAAAAAACCTCAGCGGCCACTAAACTATTGGTCGGATTATATTTTGACCATCAAACTATTTTTTGTCAATAATTGGCCACTAAACAATCTAATCAGTAAATTCGTGACCATTTGATTGATAATTGCTCTTAATCTGAGAAATTAACAGTACACGTGGCAAAATACGGGGGTAATTTTATCTAACAACTATGCCACCGTATTCTCCTTTTAATTTCTTTCCTCAAACAATCACCGAATGGAAAATTATATGGAGGAAAAAATAGGGACTCAATTGGGAGCCCCAAATCTTCAGCCCCAAATCCAAGAAGCCGAAGAAGAAGACAAGAATGTCGAGGCGCTCTGCTAAACCTAGATGCTTCTGCAAATTAACAGCAACGATGAAGACCTCATGGACAAATTGGAACCCAGCAAGAAGATATGTGGTCTGCCCAGGAGAGGTAAGATTTTTTCTGGAAATGATGCCTTTACCAGAAGAAGAGTGAGCTCTGAAAGCCATCTTGCGGAGAAGCTCCTAGCCTTCGTCTGGGTTAAGAAATCTCATCCGGTGAATGAATCCTTTGTCGTCGGCTGATAAAGAAGCAATCTTGTCTGCAACTCCGACATCCCGAGTGGTGAGCAGCACTCTGCTGGCGGTTGGTTCTTGAGACAAAAGTGCAATGCGGAGGCACTCCCAAGCATCGACAGAGCAGACATCATCCAAAACAATCAAGAATCTCTTGGACTGCAGGAACCGGTAAAGCTGAGCCAAGTCCAAATCTGAAAATGGGGCCATATCATCCTTGGCTCGGCAGACATGTTGCAGCAGCAAATCTTCCAAAATTTTTCTGGTGCGGAAGTCCTTCCCCACCATAGCCCAAGCAAAGCAATCAAAATGGCGGCCACTTAAAACCTCCCATCTTGCTTTACTGTCTAATCCACTAAAAATTACCCGGCACTTTTGCCACGTGTACTGCTAATTTCACAGATTAAGAGCAATTATCGATTAAATGGTCACGAATTTACTGATTAAGTTGTTTAGTAGCCGATTACTGACGAAAAATAATTTGATGGCCAAAATATAATCTGACCAATAGTTTAGTGGCCGCTGAGATTTTTTGCCCTATTATATATATATATATATATATATATATATATATGATATTACATCATTTAAATCAAATAAAATCAGAATAATAACATAATATTACATAATTCTTTTGTCAGACTGCTAAATTTTGATCCTGGCTGGCCCACCTATTACATGCATCATCAGAATGATGCGTGTAATGGACCCATATTTTGTCAAGCATTGCAGTCAGCCCTGTTTGGAAGATGAATTTTTTGGGAGTTTGTCTAAAATTTTACTGTAATTTACTGTAAAAGTTTTTAAAATTTTTTTTAAAATATGTAGATTTTTGAATATTTTGAAGTGTATAGTTTAAAATTTTTGAAAATTTTTTTGAGATTACTATAGTTAAAGTTTTTAAAAAATTTATAGCAACTTGACAAAAAACTTAGGTTCCAAACAAGGATATTCCGTTGGAGATGCTCTAAATAGTACCGTACTCCCTTTTCCCGAAACGAGCCCTTAAAACTCCCTTCTTCGGCTGGTGGGTTAAAAACTTCTCTTGATTGGGGAAATAAATGTTGGGGTTTACAGCAGCCAGGCTTTTGGAGCAAGAACATTTCTCATCTTCGAGGAGAAGAGTATGTCACCTTCGAGTAGAAGAGTATAAGATGGGATTTCATCAGCGGCTTAACCGCAAAATACCCACCTAAAAATGCAGGTTCTTGTTCGTCATTGATGGTTTTAGTCTTCAGAAAACCAGGTTCTTTGTTGATGTTTCTTCTCATGTTTTCTTTATCTGAGAATGCTTCGTTAGCATCTTTTTACAAGTCTATTGTGCGATTATACATGGAATGCCTTCGATGCCCATAGTTGTCTGCCAAAAAGCAGAATCCCTTTTACATTTAGGCTTGTTGATTTCACAGTATCTCGAGACCTGCTGTTTATGTACTGAAAGATTGAAATAAAGAAAAGTACTGATGGCTGATCCTCCAGAAAAGAAGATGCTTAAAAGGATCCCAGATGGTGATAATATCGACAGGTTGAGTGCACTTCCGAACTGTGTTCTGCTTCGCATCCTTTCGCGTTTCAGGACAAAAGATGCTGCAGCAACCTCAGTTCTGTGCACTAGATGGAGAGATCTTTTTGTTTCTCTTCCTGATGTTTATCTAAGTTTCCGTGTGGATGGTGATGCTTCTGACCGTGATAGGATGTTCTCTGATTTTGTAGATTTTGCCAATAGAGTGATTCGACAGCGGAATAAGGCTTCAATTGGAAAGATTGAAGTCGATGTGATGCATTTTGTTAAAAGTTACCGCCTGGCTTTTGAGTCATTGTTGATATCTGCAGCTGCTGCACTTTCTTCTTGCAATGTCCAACAACTCCATCTTTCAGTTCGAATGGATAAAACAACTGAGCGATTTTCTATACCTATTCCACCTGGAATTTTTTCATCTAAAACTCTGGTTTCTTTATCAGTGACCTTTGAGGTGGATTGGAATGTCCCTGATTTTGTTTGGTTGCCAAACCTCAAGAATCTTTACTTATTTGAATTCAGATTGGTAGATGAAGATTCTATTCAGAGGCTTCTTCAAGGTTGCCCTTTGCTTGAACAACTGATGTTATTTGTGCAACCTTTCAGCTATGAGAGTGAGAGTGAAGAAAGGATTGAAGTTGAAGTTCTTCATATCTCGAGTCCCTCATTGAAGAGCCTGCTGCTCTGTTGGAATGCAAAAGTTGAATTAGAGTTCACTGTTGTTGTGCAGTCAGAAAATCTTGAGTCTTTGTTTTGCTCCCTCCAGGGGCAGCATAAAGTTACCATAGATGCCCCAAATCTGAAGTCCCTGACTGTTGA